CTACTACTACACACACACATACACACACACAAACACACATCTGGAATGCCTAAAAGCAATGGAGGAACACAGGGGACACAAACAACAGTTTCTCTCTCGCTTGCTCTTTCTCAAGTGCATAACATTGTTCTCAAGTACAGAATTACCAATAAGGCAAACAATCCTAGAGGTGTGTTTGTCTGTCCCTCTGTTTGTATAAACACATAGATCTCCAAAATGTCTTTTTACTGACGCTATTGCTTCTTTCCTGAGAAAATGTGCAATAGATAGGCACAATGACATTTAATATACCAGGAAAGGAAAATAAAACTGACCATGTTTTAGATTATTGTTTTCCTTTGTTGTTTGTTTCTGAACAATTGACCCAAGCTCTCTGACATTTGTGTTTGTCAAACTTGTATTTGTTTCTGTCAGAATTATTTAGTAGAGTGCATGATATATAGATGAGAAATCAAGATCTCTGCAAACCTGCAAAGGACTCCTAACAATATATACAGCATATGGTCCAGTCAACTGTACACATGTGTGGACATACACACACACACACACACATCCCTTACAGAGTTAGTATGTGTTTACAAACAGAGCACTAAACGGAGCAGGTGAGGCAATAATGCAGGGTAGGAGGGGAGAACAAGCATTACCATTTTGAAAAAGAGTTGCATCATTCTGGTGATTGCTGGAAAGTCATATGGGATGTTCAAAGTGCTGAGTCTCACTCAACATGCAATGGTGATTGAAACTTACACACAGATGTCTTCTGGTTCATGTCTTTACTTGGCATCAATTTCACTCCCCGGGATTTAATCTCCATTTGCTTTTTGACTGTAAAGGGAATGAAAGAGAAGATTCAACAAAAGAGAACTATAAGAAAAGAAGGCATTTTACCTGACCAGTTACTTCTAAGATTATTTGGAAAGCCAAATTATGTTTCCAGAACAAACAAAGAACTGGAAGACTTTTCTTATTCTTCTGTACTATTTATATATGTATTTGTTCAATTTCTATGGCCAACCATCTCAGTCAGTGACGTGCCAATTAACAAGACAGTTCATTGATTGACCAGCTTTCCATTTCTCCAAACAATGCCAACAAATCACTTTCATACAAATCAACCATGAAAGTTCCCCATTAAACACAAAAAGGTGCAGGGTGAAATGCTATAATTGATATACCATTTCAGAACATATTTAAATATTAAAAATTCAAGTACAACATTGAATATTAAATATTAAAAATTCAAGCACAACAAATTATTTTACTTTCACATATATGTATCAACATATAAAGCAAAGGAAGATGGGCAGTTAGTTGGAACCCTAATAATACATTTCCAATAGTTTTCTTTTACCATTGACATCATGGTGCCCCTTTCCTAAACGCATGTAATCCTCCATAAATTAAAATACAGAAAATCTTGAGATCTGATCAATGAAATATAAGAAGCTACTGGCACTAATATTAGCTATGATGAGACTGTAACATTCTCATTTCATTTGCATTGGGTTCTTTCAGTGAGTTCAATCAAATATTATGAAATTTAGCAAACTTAAGAATAAGAACTAATTAGGGGAAAGTAATAAAAATGGATCACAACATAGAAGCTAAGGACTGAAATGGTTACCAACTCTGGCTTTCTGAAAAAGTTTGGAAAGATGACTTGAGTAGAAACTGGAAGGATCAAGAGTAATCAATCCTCAAATACTTATAACTTCAACCTCTACTGTTAGCTTTTGAAATGTCAAACATTCTTTCTTAAGAATAAGTAATACCTTTGAAATAATCAGAAGTCTTTAAAAATGACATTTGTTTAAAAAAAATACATTTGTTCTTAATCTCTTACATCTTCTGGTACTTCCACTCCTTGGAAACTTATATTTTATAGCAAACACTTAACTATTATGTCTGTGGGGGGAAAAGGCTGTTTACCAAAATCACTGGATTACAAACCTCTGACATTTGCCTTAATCAGAGAGGAAATTACAGCAAATTTTTTTACTTCACATCATTTTTAAAAACTTTGTTTTTAAAGGCATGATTCAAGCAGGTGTATTTTTAATAGCACAGCAGTAATCATGACTGATTTTCCTCTCCTTTTATTTTTAATTCTGCAACCTCCTATCTACAAAGCAATGCTCAACTGAAAGATTATGACTCAATAGCTCAACATATTAAATGTGAAAAAAGATTCATAAAGTTCCTAACTTAATTGGCTTTACTATTATGAGAAGAGAGAGAACAGGACATTGACTGAATTAATACACATTGGTATTTAACACAACAAAGTAACATTGGTGGTCCGCAAAATGTCATCTTGTGCAATAACCACACTCATCCTTGTAAGAGGTACCACAGGAGCTGACTTCCGTAGAAAGGGCAAGGACATAAAAATGGTAGTATGAATAAAACCTAACTTTGATTTAGTTATATATTCTTAATATGTTTCTCCAGGCTTTGGAGTCAGGTGTATGTGCAAAAAAACCCCAAAAAACCCAACCCTATTAGTACACCAGGAGACTTTTAGGGGAGAGAGTGAACAGTGTCATAGATTGTGCGAATAGTGGGATCCTTTACAAGTATGATTCAGATATTGAAGTAAGGTGAAGCCAAGAACATCAGTAGGATCTTGTTGCTTTCATCAGAAAGATAGAAGCATTATTATGGCATCGTGCCATAAGCTCTGCCCATTGTCAGCAAAATTGGAACACATGTACAAAGTAGTGAAGCTTGTGTCATGAGGCGGCAATGCTAATGTTAGTCATTACCCTCACACATAGATGAGGCTGGAGCCATATTTTTCCTTCAAACCAATTTAGAAAATGAGCTACATACATACATACATATGGGGGGAGGTATTATTTCAGAATTTTAGACTTCCTAACACACTGCTGTTTACTGAATCATGGGCTTCAATGGCCAGAAAGGTAATGGAGGGGAAAAAAAAAGGATTAACATAGGATATAATAAGAATGGGGAATTTCAAATCATACAGTCTGGATAGTAAGGGACTTTTGAGATCACCTAACATAGCATGGAGGACAAAAGCCTTTCTATAATCAGTGAAGTTGACATCGACTTATTTTTGGAATTCTTTGTCTTTTTCAATTACACAGCATACATCATCACTTTGTTGTTTATGTGTGCACTGAGACCTTATGCCCCAGAAACAAATTCTTTGTGTGTCCAATCACACTTGGCCAATAAAGAATTCCATTCCATCTTGTTCCTAAGCCCCTTTTGAAACCACCTTGAACATCTTCCTTTCCATGTTGGACTCCTATCTGCATTGGATGACCTAAGTATTAGTTTCTTAGCAGGTGAAAGTATTGTACACTGCTCAAAAAATAAATAAAGGGAACACTTAAACAACACAATGTAACTCCAAGTCAATCACACTTCTGTGAAATCAAACTGTCCACTTAGGTAGCAACACTGATTGACAATCAATTTCACATGCTGTTGTGCAAATGGAATAGACAACAGGTGGAAAGCATAGGCAGTTAGCAAGACATCCCCAATAAAGGAGTGGTTCTGCAGGTGGTGACCACAGACCACTTCTCAGTTCCTATGCTTTCTGGCTGATGGTTTGGTCATTTTTGAATGCTGGCGGTGCTTTCACTCTAGTGGTAGCATGAGACGGAGTCTACAACCCACACAAGTGGCTCAGGTAATGCAGCTCATCCAGGATGGCACATCAATGCGAGCTGTGGCAAGAAGGTTTGCTGTGTCTGTCAGCGTAGTGTCCAGAGCATGGAGGCACTACCAGGAGACAGGCCAGTACATCAGGAGACATGGAGGAGGCCGTAGGAGGGCAACAACCCAGCATCAGGACCGCTACCTCTGCCTTTGTGCAAGGAGGGACAGGAGGAGCACTGCCAGAGTCCTGCAATATGACCTCCAGCAGGCTACAAATGTGCACGTGGCTGCTCAAACGGCCAAAAACAGACTCCATGAGGGTGGTATGAGGGCCCAACGTCCACAGGTGAGGGTTGTGCTTACAGCCCAACACCGTGCAGAACATTTGGCATTTGCCAGAGAACACCAAGATTGGCAAATTCGCCACTGGCGCCCTGTGCTCTTCACAGATGAAAGCAGGTTCACACTGAGCACATGTGACAGACGTGACAGGGTCTGGAGACGCCATGGAGAACGTTCTGCTGCCTGAAACATCCTCCAGCATGACCGGTTTGGCAGTGGGTCAGTAATGGTGTGGGGTGGCATTTCTTTAGGGGGCCGCACAGCCCTCCATGTGCTCACCAGAGGTAACCTGACTGTCATTAGGTACCGAGATGAGATCCTCAGACCCCTTGTGAGACCATATGCTGGTGCGGTTGGCCCTGGGTTCCTCCTAATGCATGACAATACTAGACCTCATTGGCTGGAGTATGTCAGCAATTCCTGCAAGACGAAGGCATTGATGCTATGGACTGGCCTGCCCGTTCCCCAGACCTGAATCCAATTGAGCACATCTGGGACATCATGTTTCACTCCATCCATCAATGCCACCTTGTACCACAGACTGTCCAGGAGTTGGGGGATGCTTTAGTCCAGGTGTGGGAGGAGATCCCTCAGGAGACCATCCGCCACCTCATCAGGAGCATGCCCAGGTGTTGTAGGGAGGTCATACAGGCACGTGGAGGCCACACACACTACTGACCCTCATTTTGACTTGTTTTAAGGACATTACATCAAAGTTGGATCACCCTGTAGTGTTGTTTTCCAGTTTAATTTTGAGTGTAACTCTAAATTCAGATCTCCATGGGTTGCTAAATTTGATTTCCATTGATAATTTTTGTGTGATTTTGTTGTCAGCACATTCAACTATGTAATGAACAAAGTATTTAATAAGAATATTTCATTCATTCAGATCTAGGATGTCTTATGTTTGTGTTCCCTTTATTTTTTTGAGCAGTGTATCATAATTCAAACCTTCTATTAAGTCTCTTTTCTTTGCTACTGTTGTTTGATGCCTGTTGGCTGTTGTGACTTTCATTTTCTCCTAGAATGCCAGTATTATTTATTCTCTGACATAGAACTGGAAGTAAGTAAACTTGATGCAATTATATACTCACTGTATCAAAATTTCTTATGCGTGCATAAATGTCAAACTGAATTAATCTCTTCAAAAATGCAATAGTAAAACATAGCATAGGAGGAATCCTGGTATGGTATTAGAAATAGGCTAGTGAAAAAAGTGTATTGGTTGAGTATTTTTTTAAAAAACAAACAAAATTTTCAATATCCAAACTAATGGATCGGGATATGATTGTTATTTTTTAGCTGCATATTTCTCTAAGTGTTGAAATGCAGTTTTTATTCCCAAAATTACATATAAAATGTGAATATTAGGAAGGATGTGTACAAAGGATTATTATTTATATCCCATCTCTCAATTGTATGAGGGGAAAAGTGCACATGGTTTTTCTATATTATTAAGACATCAATAACACCTGCTGAGTGAGAATACAGCTGCTGGAATAGTAATTTCTCATGCTGACATTTGTACAGTTTGTCCCAATATTTTAGTCAATGAGAAACATAGAAAAGGAAAATAAATAAAATAGAAAATTGCCATGTACATCTGCAATCCATTTTTGGAATTATTGTAGTTGAAAGAATTTTGAAAGGGGGCAGCGTTAGAAACATGTCAGAATCCTGCAACTTACCCTGATATTGTGCGTTGAAACCCTTCTGTCTGTGGTTCCCATCCGACATAAAGTGAAGACGAAGCCAGTTTTTGCTGCTGATTACAGGAGCAGGAAGGTTTGTTCCTGTAAACCTGCAAAAAGAAAAAAAGAAGAAGCTAACAGAAAGAGCTGCAAACATTTTTTTTAAAAGAGTCTCCTCTATGAAGATGCATAAGGAACTCCTGCAAATGTCCTCGAGATGCAAATAAAACTGGTTTGTACAACCCATTATTTACCCACATAGAAATCTTAGCCATACAAGTACAGACTCACTTACAGTATAAAAGAAACAAAAATTTAAATCCAATGCTGATTTTTATGCAGATCTAATTTCTGCGGCCAGATTAGTGTTCTATCAAGTGAAATTGCCTCCCCACTTCAAAGGCACCGAAATTAAACTGTTTATACTTCTTTGTTGCCACAGATAATTAGAATGCTGCCCCTGCTATCTTGTCATACCATCAAATGACATTCTGAAAAGAAATGATGGTTGACGACAGCAGAGGGAGAAGTAAAAGCATGTATAATGCTCCCAAAATGTCCACAGTGATCTCCCTTCTTTTCAAAACTATCTGGAATGGAAGGTATATATTACTCAGATGAATTCTGGGCTTTTGTAAGCTAAGCTTAGATCATGTGTATCAGAGGTGTATTTAGCAGGTTCTGACTAGTTCTGGAGAACCGGTAGTGGAAATTTTGAGTACTCTGGAGAACTGGCAAATACCATCTCTGACTAGAGAATTTACAGTATCCTTCCCCTGCCACAACCACCAAGTCACACCCACAGAACCATAGTAAAAAAAATTGAATCCCACCACTGATGTGTATATTTATTTATTTTATTTATTTATTTTATTTATTTATTTATTTATTTGATTTGTCAATTGTTTACAAGATAATAAGTACAAGTGTATACATAGTTGTGAATATATGAAATGGGTACATATAAGAAAAATAAAAGAATAAGAGAAACAATAGGACAGGGACGGTAGGCACGTTGGTGCGCTTATGCACGCCCCCTACAGACCTCTTAGGAAAGGGGTGAGGTCAATAGTAGACAGTCTAAGGTTAAAGTTTTTGGGGTTTGGGGAAGAGACTACAGAGTCGGGTAGAGTATTCCAGACATTGACCACTCTATTGCTGAAGTCGTATTTCCTGCAATCAAGTTTGGTGCGGTTTACTTTGAGTTTGTATCTGTTGTGTGCTCTTGTGTTGTTATGGTTAAAGCTGAAGTATTCATTGACAGGTAGGACATTGCAATGTATGATTTTATATACCATGCTTAAGTCGGACCGAAGACGGCGTAATTCGAGGTTTTCTAGTTTTAGAATTTCGAGTCTGGTGGCGTAAGGTATTCTATAACGGGTAGAAGAGTGGAGAACTCTTCTTGTGAAATACTTCTGGACTTTCTCAATTGTGTTAATATCACATACGTGATAAGGATTCCAGACTGATGAACTGTATTCGAGTATTGGTCTAGCAAATGTTTTGTATGCTCTGGTTAGTAGTGAGATATTACCAGAGAAAAAGCAACGTAGGATTAGGTTAACAACTCTTAATGCCTTTTTGGCTATGTAGTTGCAGTGAGCTCTAGCACTTAGATCATTAGAGGTGAGTATTCCCAGGTCCTTTACAGAGCTTGGGTCATCAACAAGATCTTGACTATTCAGCTTGTATTTTATTTTCTGATTTTTTTTACCAATATGTAAGACAGAGCATTTATTTGTTGAGATTTGGAGTTGCCATATGTTAGACCATTCAGATACATAGTCTAGATCTTTTTGAAGGGTAGTAGTATTGTCTGTGGTATTGAACAGCTTTACATCATCAGCGAAGAGAACGCAATTGCTCTTGATATGATCACAAAGGTCGTTTATGTAGATTATGAAGAGAGTTGGTCCTAGAACACTGCCTTGGGGAACACCACTATTGACTGGTACTGGATTTGATAGGGCGTTCCCAATTTTGACCATTTGTTGTCTGTTTGACAGGAATGCTTCTATCCAGTTATTCAGTTGTCCAGAGATACCATAAGATTTTATTTTTAGGAGTAGTTTGTCGTGTACCACTGAATCAAAGGCTTTGCAGAAGTCTATGTAGATTGCGTCTATTGCTTTGCCCTGGTCGAGTTGAGTAGTCCATATGTTTTTGCAGTGTAAGAGTTGCAGATTACAGGATAGTTTTTTTCTGAAACCAAATTGTTTGTTGGAGAGTAGGTTGTTTGTCTCTAAATGGAGGATGATGGATTGGTTAATAATTGATTCCATGACTTTACAGGTGACGCAGCATAAGGAGATTGGTCTGTAATTTTCAACTAGGCTTGGGTCTCCCTTTTTGAAGATGGGAATGACTGTGGCTTGTAACCATAGGTTGGGCAAGGAGCTGGTTCTGAAAGATCTTTCAAAGATTATGCTTAGAGGTTTGGCTATGGCAGCGGATAGTTTTCTTAAGAAGTAGGCACATATTCCATCCGGTCCAATAGATAGAGATGGTTTTAGGTTGCGTAGTGCTTTTTCAACGTTGTCTACTGTAAAATCGATATGTATTAGATCATTATTGTTGTCTTTGGTACGGCTAGGAAACATTGGGCATGATCCATTACTGTTTACAAACACTGAGCCGAAGAATGTGTTAAAGATGTTGGCTTTAATGGTGTCGTCGCTGCAGTCTTTACCATCAGGTCCTATCAAGGGAGGGATGGACCTTGAGTCTTTTAGTTTGTTGTTTACAAAATTGTAAAAAGCACGGGTGGAATTGGTGCTTAGAAGGTTTTCCTCTTGTTTAATGTGGTAATTGGTGCATTCGGTCTTTATCTGGTGGCATAAATTTTTATATCGGTTTTTGAAATTAGCAACGTGACCAGATTTGTTTTTCCGCCAGAGTGATCTCTTTTTGGATTGAAGTTTCCTTATTGATATGGGTAATCTGCTTTTTTGTTTTGTTTTTGGAGTTGTTGTTGGAACATATAGTTTGATGACTCTTTTGACTTCAAGTAAAAATATGTTGTAATGATCTTCAACAGTATTGCATCCAGTGAATAGAGATTGCCAATCGAGGGATGAGAGATCGTTTTCTATAAGATCATAATTGCCTTTTTTGAAGTTACAACTAGGGATGACATCGTTGTGGTGATTTTTGCGTGGACGTATGTTGAGGCAAAAGTCAATCATATTGTGATCACTACTGGAAAAGGGTTCTTTGGTTTGTATTCGGTAAATTAAATTCAAACTATTGCAGAAGATGAGATCGAGGCAGTTGTTCAGTCTAGTGTTGTTGGTTACTAGTTGTTCAAGACCTAGATTTGTAATAGCATTGAAGAAGGTTGTGTGTATGATTTCAGTTGTACAATTATTTAGGGTCCAGTCAATATGAGGTAGATTGAAATCTCCAAGAAGGATAAAAGGGTATGGGCAGGATGTAGCCCATGTTAGTAGTGTATTTAGCTTGTTTATATGTTCGATGTCATAATCAGGTGCTCTGTAACATAGTAAGAATCGAATTGTGATATTTAAGGATAGTTCACAGATGATGGTTTCAGGAAGGGCAAGCTCCTGGGTAACTTGGATATTTTTTAGATGTAAGGATTTTTTGTAGAATATAGCAACACCACCTCCTCGACGATTTTCACGATCTGATCGGTAAACATGATAGTCTCTTACTGTGGTAATGGAGTCGGGGAGAGATGCATTGAGCCATGTTTCACAGACAAATATAATATCAAAGTTAGCCATATTTAAGAGGATGAGAAATTCAGGTATTTTATTCACGAGGCTTCTTGCATTGAGTAGTTTGCATTTAAGTCCGGCAGCAGTTGGGATTGAGGTAGTTGGGGGCGTGCGTGCCTAGTCTTGGGTGATGGTGGGTGGTGGGTAGTTTTGGGTGATGGTGGGTGGTGGTAGGTGGTTGAGGTAGGGTAGTGGTTGAGGGTAAAAGTTGGGTATTGGGTTGCGTGTCTTACTTTTGATGCAGTCAGCATGGTAGTCAATGTACAGGTCCTTCTCTCCATTGTCTAGACGGGTTTTGAGTTCGATGCGGAGTGCACGGGAGCGGGCACGTTGCTGTATGGTTAAGTCAGGGCGGCAACGGAGGTTTTTGTGGTTGGTGTTGGTTTTGGCGAGTGAGTTTATAGTGTAAATGAGTTTACGTTTGCTTGATTCATTTTTGCAAATGATCCTGCACAAGCGTGGGGCCACAGAGCCGTCTCTATTTTTAAGCTCTCGGTCAATGCGGGAAATGTCAAGTATTTCATCGCCGGAGATGGTTGATGCTTGGTAATCTCTGATGATGTTTCGGACAGTTGTGATGTCATCATTGACAATGCTGTCTTCTAGTCCAAATAAGATGGCGTTTGGACGTTTCCGTTCACGCTCAACAGCTTCTCTGATGAGGATTGGGATATCAATATTTGTCTGGGTTGCGTTTATCTGTGGATTGGGTTTTGGATTGGATTGTGGTTGTTGGGTGGAGATGTGGTTTGTGGCTATTTGATGATCAGGTTTTTGTGTTGTGTCTTTTTTTTCAAGGTTAGTTATTCTTTCTTTTACGGCGTCTAGGGATGCTAATATGGTGTTGAGGGATGTTTTAATGGTTTCGATGGTTGAGGATGTTTCAATGGTTTCAATGTTTGGGGATGTTTTGATGGTTTCGGCGGTATCATCTCTTTTAGACAGATCTAGTTTAGATAAGCATAATTTGCAGAAATATGGAAACTCATTGGATGATTCTAGGTATCGAATCATTTGCTCAGGTAATCCCAAGCAGTCATGGTGGGTGTATTTTTTACACAGAGAACATTTGATGGAGTATTTATTATCTATTAGATTTTTGCAGCATTTAAGGCATGTGCAGGAGTCTTGAGGTTCATTGGTGCAGGAGTCTTGTTGTTCATTGGTGGGGATTGTCTTCTCAATGAGTTGTGGTTTGAGGTAGGATTTTCTTTTTGGCATGGTAATATTGGTAAAATAGTACGTTGATTGAATTAATTAAATGAACAATTTAGGGTAATCTATATAGTCAATATTACATCAAACAATATCAAACAATCTATTGTAGTAATCTCTCAAATCAGATAGTATTTCTAAGCAACAATCAG